TGGTTATAACCATATATTTTCGTACCACAGCACAAACAATGTTGGGGCTGAGGTGGTCTATACTGTCCATCTGTGGGAGTCCCTCCAAAGGCCCCCTCCATTTCGAATTCCTGGATCCTCCACTGCCACAAAGCAGGTCTGAAGGGTGGACAGGGTACATAGCCTTTAACGAAGACAACTCAAACAGCATCATACAATTTAGCCTAATGCGATTTATCGTATCGGGTCTTTGAGTTAAAATGCCGACGTCGTGATGGGTGATTGTGAGAGTGCTCGATCTGCGCAGTCACACATTCTTGTGATGACCTAAGACTTTCTCCAGCATTATGGCACTGTCTGTGTTGGCCTTAATATGGAAATTAATTTGTATTATTAGATATGAAGTAGGAATGGATGATTTTAAAACAACAAGAGAGGTTGTCTAGTAATCGGTAAATTTAGTAGACCTTCTTGTGAAGATGGCAAACAACAACACATTACCTTCTTGAGGCACAATACTGAGACATGTGATAATGATGAATTACGAAAAAAAAACAAAAAACAGGAAGTTCAAGAGAGGTGCTTTAATAACTTTTGTTCGCACATAAGCACACTCTTTTTTTCAATTTTTATCACAAAAAAAAAATGTCAAAAAAATGTCAATACTTCACGAGTTGTGTTTAGAGCAATGCTCGATCTGCAAACTTCTAGAAATGGGTTCCATAAAATTTCAGATATTTCATTCATATTTTTACTGTTTTTCATTTATTCAGTTAATCAAACAAGTATAAAAGGACTTGTCCTACCAACCGACTGCCGACAGTTAGATATCCAATCCTAAAGAATAAGTTGTAAAATCAAGCAAATTTTAGCATGAGCATGTTAAGTATTGCTGAAATCCACAGCTAGTATCAAATGAAAAAAGGGGAGCAGGCAGAGAGCATAAGTGCCTGCCCCATCATTTGACATGAAAATGAGAACAGATCATTTTCAAGTCCATACAGTTGAAGTAATGGTAGTTATAATCGTATTTAACATTCTGAATCATAGTTCATTCAGTAGAAAAGAGTCGATAGCCAAGCAGTATGGTAGGGGCGCCGCTAACTACAGCCTTAACATCGGCGCTGGTTCTAGCCACTCCTCACTCAGTGTTAGGTTAGTAATAATAATAATAATTCCATACTTCTATAGCGCATTCCACAAAAAGCCTCAATGCGCTTTACAAAAAGAAAAAAAACAAGCAGTATATAATTTTGACTTAAACTACGGTACTTAAGTTCCAAAAAAGCTTCTGGGATAAGGACTTATAATGGAGAACCCACTTGGAAGAGTAAGGGGTTACCTCGATGCTATGGTTCATTTTAGTCGTTGTGGAATGATGTGAACATGTAGCTACTATAAACGCCTCTTTACGGCCACTAAGTCACGGACCACGTCCATACTCAATTCAGCACAATGATGCTGCGAGTTATGGGTTATTCTCCTACCTTTACCTTTATCCTGTCTAGATTTTTGAATAACCCTTGGTATATTTTGAAAGAAGTTGAGAGTTGTTGGGTTTAAGCTGAAAATGCTGTGCAATCTGTTTCTATTAATTTGTGTTGAATGATTGAGGAGTGCTTTTTAATGGATTGCTTTCCCTTGTCAATTTAAAAACAATACTGGTAGCTTTTTGATAAAATGATGATATACAGTACATGTTTGTTCCTAGACCCAATGTCTAGGGCATTTATTTGCAATCCTTAAATTGATCACCAGCCAACACAGGCCTATGCAACAAAATATAGGTCGAAATTTCAACAGAAATCTTTAATAAATATAAAAATTAAGTATATTATACATTATATCATAAAACAGAAAAATTGACAATAGAACCAATTGATAAATAATCATGATTCTTGAAATATTGTTCATATTTATATCATAGCCTGAAGCAACCACAATGTAAAGGCATTCCATCAATTATTGCTTTGAAAGATAATAATAATCAGACATATGAGTTTCTACTTGATATGACAGCACAAAGAAAGAATATGATGGTAATTTATCAAGAGAGATATAAAATGAAGACTAAATTGTTTCTTTCCCTTATAAATTTTCATAAAATGCAACACTTTTTATGCAGTGTTCAGTTTTTAAATACAACTACCTAAACCTTCGGAGAGAAAAGAGAACTCTGGCTTGGATACAGATCCTTACTTTCTAAGATTGTTGGTACAATTCTAGTAAAAAAAATCTACTCCCTAAGCCATGACAAGACAGTGGGCATAAAGCACCAAGTTTCCTAATTACAGGATACAATGCTTTATAAACTAAGTCTCTTCATGAGGTTTAGGGATTGCATTTGATTTGCAGTCATAGAAAAATCTGGATGTCATAGAAATTGAACTGAGAGCGACCTGGGATAAAAATCTTACCAAGCAACGCTCACTCCTTGAAGTGCTTATATCAAATGATGTGCTGTTTTCTGTACACAAAGTTACGCAAACCTCAAGCTTTTAAGCTATTGGAAACACCAGCATCGTTGCTTGTGTTTTTCCAAGTTTCATTTATTCACGACTCACATGATTCCTTTGATATGAAATCTTTATGACATCATCTTTATGATACTGCTACATATAGCGAGACAAAATGTTCTTGCTAAAAACCAAACACGTACATCATACCCAACTTAGAATTTACCCTTTCAGCAACCTCTGCATCATCAACATTAAGCCGGGCACACAGCAACCGGCCGACAAATCCATCTCCACTGTCTGCAAGTGCTTGATGATGCAATGCAATCTGCTAATTACCAGTGGCACACCTAGCTGATCACCATTAAAAACAATTTGTTGCGCATGCCTCATTGCATACCATTCTTTATGTAATCATGCCTGCCTACAATCGTTAGCACAGTGTGCGCTCAGCTTTAAAAACAAGTTTGCGAATTACAAATAACCTAAAGTTTCATCTCACGTTCAGTGTCATTCAACAGGAAACCACACATATCTTGGAAAGTTTTAATTTTTCTTTACAAAGAACAGTACACTTCACACTGATGCTTCACACAAGGACAATTTTTATTTTTCAAACCATCAACAAGCTCTCTAAATAAAATAATAAAACTACAGATTAAGGACATTTCACTCAGAATTACTGTAACTCCTTTATAATAGATTTCAGAATCATCTGCAAAAGTGTGCAGAGAGAAAACAATAACAGAAACTAAATATGGTTGTGTACTGTATAATAAATAACAAGATATTGTAGGTCAAAAAATACTAAAAACCCAAGGAACCATCTTGAAACTAGTCTTTGATGAGGCACACAACCAAAGCCTTAATCAAGATAACCAATTTTGATGTTTTAACTAAGAAAACAAGTTTTTCAAAAAATCAAGTACAAGAAAAATCTACAACATCCACATTTTTATAACAAAACAAATCAAGCAACCCTTTCCAGACAACTATCACAGACTTATATTTTGCAAAGCACCCCATCCCCTTTATAATCAACACAACCATGCCTTATTTCTACTTCTTGCTGAAATAATGTGGTAAAAATAACAGAACGATATAGAAACCTTTTGTTGAACCACAAAACAGGGATGAATACCTTTAGGTCCTCTAGCCTATTAATATTCCAAGAGGAAAGAAGTTTTTGAATCTTTTCATAGGGAGATAATCTAGACAGAGAAATCATTACGGAAACAGTGAATTTACAAATACATTTACTGTATTAACAAACAGAAAAACAGAAATTTTCATCAACAAGTGTGTTACTAAAAAAAAATATTCTATTTAATTCCAACATTCTTCTTTCTATCAGACACAGACTACTACATTGTAATCAGTTTGATTAGAAATATGGATAGAATATTGATTTAAAACTAAAATATATAAAAAAAATTTAATTAAGTATTTCTTCCAATTTTGTTTTTTAATTTCGATTATTTCGAATCAAATAATTAGTTTGCATCTGTACTTGGAAAATATAAGATCATTAATCAGAAGCACATAACTTTTGTATGAGCAATCAGATTTTCAATTTTCTTACTCAACCATTTAGGTTTATTTTTTTAACTTACACATTTTTCACATAAGAAAGTATTCCTTATAGTAACCTACATTATAAACATCCAATGCCAGTGTCCCATTTTTCCTTCAAAAACTTTATCCCATCTACCAATCAAATTTTATCACGCATCAAATCTGAGTTACTGTGAATGTGTGATTCAAACTTTATGTATAGAATCATAGAAAATGTTCAGCATCATTTATGGCCACAATATATCTAAAGGGTGATGTTTTCCATGACAAGCTTGTATAAATAAACATGATTTCTTTCTGTCCCTATTTATAGCAGGCTCATGACATGCTTAAAACACAAAAAAACAATTAGTTGCATCAAGAATGATGCAACGATGTTTTTCTCTAAAATGCTGTTATTACTCAGGGAGGCCTACACAATCACTGAAAAATATTAATTTCTTTCCTTGGGAATCATATGCTAATTTGAGTAAAGGACAAATGTTTGTTACGATTTACAGCCTAGAGACTTGCACTAATCTGAAAGAATCCAATTTGTTTTAAATATAAAAAGAATCAACAACCTGCAGAAACCTTGAAAAAAAATGAAATATTATATTTAAAATAAATTGAAATATCCACAAGAGAAATCCATATCTGAGAAAACCTTGAATAAGAAATTCATTAATCAAAGAAACAAACAACTATTGGAAAATTACCCAGTGTTGAGTAAATAAATGAAACTCAGAATTCTTTTCAAAAAACCATCTTAATTTGAATACTAAAAGTATAAATTCAAAAAAGAAAAAATTGAAAGTTATTTAAGATGATGATATAATAATAATAATAATATTAATAATAATAATAATAATAATAATAATAATAATAATTTAAATTTATATAGCACATTGCGCAGTGCTTCTATGCAATTTACATGAAATTATTAAACAAAAATATGATGAGTTTACTATAATATAATAATCACAATGAATCTCAAATGCATATTTTCATAATAAAAAAAGCTTCTTGTATCATCTAAACATTATCTTCACAATGATCATAATGATTATGAAATTATAATAATGATGATAATTAATAATAATGAATATATTATATTTATTGAAAAATATTCATCTGGTTTGTGTATAAACAAATGCATTAACTGCAATGCAATTAACAAATTGTTGGTTTTTTCAAACCAACAATTTCATTTCATTGTCAAGGTTAATGAAATCGAGTTGTTGGTCTGACAAAAAGAAAGTTTAATGGTCTAAAATAGCTTTATAGCTAAGACTGCTTCGCTTCCGATTGTCACCCAGTCACTGAAACAGACGACAATAGAACTCATACTCAGCTCCTTGGGGATGTATTCCACTATAATGCACTAATCAGTGGACTGCCATTTAAGCTCAAACACCCATTTATACTCCTGGGTAGGAGGCAACATCCATAAAGTGCTTTGCCTATTAACGGAAACAAGCTATTGATGCTGTCTTTTTTAATGTGTCGTTTTCTAACTCTCTAGTGCAATTTTCATATAGGCCTAATTTAATCTTCCCTAATTTAATCAATTTTATATGTTCTACTTCAATTTCACAATACAGTATTGTAAATTTTCACGCACTATAAAACATTGGGCGATCTGACATCATCACAAATGAAGTATGTTTGAACACCACCCCACGAAAAAAAAGAAGGTGCGGCCTATTGTTTAAAATAAGCACCAAGTTGTAACATGACGTCAAAGAATGTGTTGTGTTTAGAAACATATATCATAATGAAAAGGCACATAAAAACAATATAAAGGCATAAATTGTATTGGTAATTGAATTTGCTGTGCAGTACAACAAAACAACAGGTACTTTATATTATTATGTTAAATAATGGGTTAACTTTGCATAGGCTAGTCAAAACAAGCCCACAGGGCTTTGCCATGCCTATTTCAACAGGCCCTAGCTAGGCCTACAACAGGCTTTTTCGGAAAAGGTTTTAATACAAATGTTATACAAACCAAACTTTACAAAAAACCGAACATCTTAGCAGGTTCTGAAGGGGGTCGGTATTGGGAGAGTGGACTGTAATGGAAATTGCAATGAATATGGGACAATATAATTCAAAATAATGCTAATATTGATATCATCTGTCATACCTTCCTAGACAGTGCAGTCCACATCCACTCATCAATTGATCCCTTAGCAATGAGGTAATGAATGTGTATGGAATTGACTTGACCGATGCGATGGGCGCGGTCTTCACATTGTTCTAGGACACCTGGCGTCCAGTGTAGCTCTGCAAAGACAACATCGGTGGCTGCCGTAAAGGTCAAACCCTGTGAACAAAGGAATTCCATCCGGCTAAGAAACTCACATAATATATCAAAATGTATATTTGTTATTTTAATTTAATTAAATAGTGTATTTATACAAAATTTTTAATCTTATTTTATAAATTGTGCAACAATCTTCAACACTGACTATTTTCTGTTAACTTGTGTTTGTTTCACTACTATACCTCTGATAATAATATGATTAATATATCATTTCATCATTATTATTACCATTGTCATATTCATCATTATACTTCATATTTATCATCATCATTATTATCATATTATATGATTAATACCTCCACCACAGTGGCTTTGTATTTGTTTGTCTGGTTGTCGGTTTGTTAGCAGGATTATGCAAAAACTAATTATTGGATCAGGTCGAGCATTTCATAATGATCCAATTAGGTAAAATGACAGGCCAATGTCACAGAAAGTTTAAAAAAAAGCACATTAATGAAATGGTGTGGCAAAGGTACAATACAGTATGCCTACATTGGAGTGCACTCTATTTTGCCATTATATAAAGAAAAGCCTACCACTCCTGCAGCTTGTATGCTCAACACAGCTACCCGAGTACGTTCATCTTTCTGAAAGGTGTTTACAAGGTGCTAAAACAAATAATCAGAAAGTATGTTACCAAGTCATGCTTTGAAACATCTAAATGCTAAAATGAAAAAGACATATAGAACACCAGTGGGGATCATTCCTTTTAGCATATGCTGCAAATGTTAAAAATTATTTATTATTATTACTATATTTATTTATTTATTATAGAAGACATGCATTATTTTTCATTGTGCTTCAGATTAAGTTACAAAAATATGACAGGAAATATAAATATGAAAAAATGTAAATGGTATATAAGAAAATCATAATAAAGTAGAGTTTATTTAATGCTAGGTTGCATGGTTCCAGCTCATGATACCTGATAGTTTAAGGTCCTCTGGGCTTAGTCTTGAGAAGAAGTCCACCTCAAATTGAAGCCCCCTCTTCAGTTTGCAAAATTAGCCTCGAAAAAAAGCCCACCTCGAAAAGACACCCATGGGCTTCTTTTCGAGATACACTTTACATGAATTTCAAAAAAACAATAAATAACTTAAAAACAAGCTTGGTTTACACAGTAGTGTAGGCGATTTAATGCCAATACACTACATGATACAGATTGATGTTACAGTGGTCTTATTTAATGTTTTATAGCACAAATTCCCAAAACTTACAGCATTAATTTTGAAAAGAAGCCCCCTCTTTACTTTGCAAAAGTTTGCAAAAAAAAAAAAAACAAAAACAAAAACAAAAAAAAAAGCCCAGGGTTTCAATTCGAGGTTTTATGGTATTTTTCATTGTGTATATAAAGTACAATCCAAAGAAAAGCAAAACAGTAGGTTAGGATTTCCTCCATGGTTATGGCAAGTATTAATACACAAAAATACTAGCCTCAAATAAATTTGATCTGGTCATTGGCCCATTTTATCAAATTTAGAGAAAAGTTGAATACCTTGGTGGTTAAATGCTTTAAATTACAGCATCCAGGGTTCGATTCCTGTGAAAGCAGGATTTTTTTCCACTCCCAAAGCTCAATTAAAAGACTTGATTTATAAAAGCATAACTAGGCTTTGTGGGAGACTAGAAGGTTAATTTAATTTAATTTCTAATTGTCCTAAAGCAATTAACTGATATAAATCAAATTAATCAAACCTTACCATAGAGTATAGACAGTATTATCTAGGTTGTTATATTCATACCCTAACATACTGTATGATACTATTACAGTAAGATACTGTCCATCACAATTTACTCTGTATAGTAATCTTGGTTGTTCTCCAATAGCAGATTACTAAAATATATATATATAGCTATATGTACAGCTAAATATATATAGCTTATATATATAAATAGCTATATTGATCGAATCCATAGATGGAAGATCGATGGACGAATATGTTACTGAAGGCTATAATTGGGGTTTCTGATAATGTTAACAATTTCAGCTACAAAATACATTTTTAAAAAAGAAAATGTAACATTGAATATACTCTCAGTTATGTCATGAATCAAGATGTACCACTGATTTTGGGCAAATGACATTAAACATGCTATGAGACTACAAGCTGTATGTGACTAAAATGATGAATTAGAAGCAAAAATTTTAATCAAGAATCACCAGGTACAACTTTGAGGGGGCATCTAAAAAAAACCCCCCAAAAATATTGTACAATGTTAAGTACGTACAGTATCTGTTTTAGCCAGTACTAGCATTTTAATTCAATTGGTTGTATCTTTAAACATCAGAAAAATATACTTTGTTGTTTTTTGATACATGTGTATCCAGACTGGTTAACTTCACCTCTAACAGATGACTACACAAGATCTGAATGTTTTGAGGTTGGAAAGACTTGTTAAAATAAGGATTACAAATTAGGTTTGGGCCTCACATGGTGTGTACTCTTGTAAGTGACCACCCTTTGTACGTGACCACTTTTCCCTGGACCCATGGGGGCATGGACCCAAGGGTGATCACTTTAAGAGAGACTAAAACTAAAATCTTAACTTTATGTATGCTGGACTCACAGACTATGGGTTATTTATGTTTCACTTCTAATAAATAAATATGAATAATTAAATAAATGCATAAATAAAATAATGAATAAATGGAATAAATGAAATAAATATATATAGCCAGTAACTCTCCAAAAAAAAAAAAAAAAAGTTATTCTAATTTAGATGTGACCATCCAGTAGATGTATTATCATATAAACTAAACAAAATACATTAGAAAGTCTAGTAACATAAACGATCGTTGAGTTAATTTGAAAATCAATGTTCATACTCTGGCAGTCTGATATCATCTTAAGGTTAAAAGTTTATGGTATTGTCATATCATTACAAAAATGTTACAACTTCAATTTCTAAGATGGTACCTAAATCCATTATGTCGAGATTTCCTCCATCCTGAAATTTCCTTCCACTTTTAGCATTATCTTTATTTCATTCAAATATAAAGTATGAATGATATGTGCTTTTAGACATGAATTCATTCATGAAATACTGTAGGCAGAAACTGCTTATCTTGCAATGTCATTAATATGTGCCACAGGTTGTGTTATGCTGTCTGCATTTTTGTTATTATATTTTATGGTTGCTGACGGCGGACAATGACTTGCTTGATTCGGTCTTTTTTTAAAACTAATAGGCCATCAATGTTTCTCTGCTGCTCTGAAATCATGTCTAAAATTATAAATGCAATGCCCTAGGGAAGCTGGCACGAAGATGAGACAAAGCGTCCAAAGGTATATACAGGCATCGGACTAAAGACACACTTGGTTAATTTATAAATTATATTTTCTTTATCATTTTTATTAATTGAATTTAATATTTTAAATAATTGTTATAATTAATATGATAATTATGATTATTATAATTAGTAATTATTATTATGGCATTATGAATATCAACGGCCACCACCAGTGTCATAATTCCAAACATCACCAGTACCATCAACTTCATCACAATTGCCATCACCATATCATAGCAATTACTATTATCTTCATTGCCATCAACAACACCCCATCACGAAACTATAAATAAAATCATGCAAGCCCAAGGGAAGCTGGCGCCACGATAAAACACAAAGCATCAGAATACATTTAAAGGAATCGGACTGAGGAAGACAGCCTTGGTCCAGAGTAAGGTGACCAATAAAAAATTACATTTTTTAATCAATTCTGGTAATTGACTTTATTATTTCAATTAATCATTTTGATGATGATGAATTATCTTTATTTTTTTATATCATTATCATTAATATTATAAATAATTTGGCACTGATTATGGCACTGATTATAATTATTAATCACCGCTACATTTATAATTACAATAACCACCAGCATCATCAAAATTATCACACTACACAACTATCATCTTCAGCATTGTCATCACAATCACCTTATACCAAGTGTTGGCGCCAGCAGGGAGGACATTTGGCCACTAACACCACCACGTCATCTTGATTGCCAATCCCTGATATTGTGGTTTAAAAGCACAATTTGGACCCTACTAAGCCTGAAAAACTCTCTCCATTAACTCTACCAGGGACTTTTTATTCCGAGACTTGGACCGAGGCTATAGTCAGCCCTTTGGGTCAATGTCGGGCCCCTTGTTGGCAAATTTCTGGAGCCACCGCTGCTTATACTATTACCGCCACCGCAACCACCACCGATTCTACTGTAATCAGCAATATCACCATTATCTACTCCATGCATTAACCATTTACAATTATATCATCATTATACAGAAAAATATTCTTATCTCGGGCAAGATTCACTGTATTATTTCATCCTTTATAGGAAATTTCTTGATCACATACATCAAAATATGTTAACAGTTAAATAGTGAAAATTTTGAATAAGAAAGCTGTTATATAATTAAAAGTTAAGGAATGAGAAAGTATATAACTCAAGATTTTGGGATATTCAAGAATCTTTTAAAACAGATATAATTTTACAATTAAAGATTGCCGGAACTTGATAGGCATTTTGTATACAATTTCTAAACATGATTTTTTCGGATCAATGTTTTAACTGTGTTCGTCAATCAAATGTGTCAGAGATAGATGACATAACCGTGTATCTTTCATTTGGAAATTAATAGCATCAACTGTCATAAAAACTGAATACAAATTTATGGAAGCCATACTTCATGTTTTATCATCTCACCATTCTTTCAAAACTCGGGACATCTCCATCAATACGGATGTATTTAATATCACATTTCTTCTCCCTGTTATACTTTGTGATGGTCTGGCATACAGCAGTAAGAACGTCTCTATGATGCGCGAAGACAAGGAACTTGAGGCCGGGATTATCGAGTAACATTGAGATGTAATCACATACAGCCCCAATCTGCAATGACACAACTCATCAAGTTTTAAATATTTCCATATTGGTTATCACAGTTTCTATTACACATAAGATCAACTCAGATGAACTTAATTATACTTCTGTGGTTAGGATTAAATTGAGTTGAGAAAATGTTTAGTAAATTTAATCTTTTGTCATGCAAGAAAGAACTATTTATATTCACACCTTATATACAGTATTTGAATTTGTAAAAAAAAAAAAAATATATAATACAATTGTATTGTAGTGAATTTTCAAAATTGCAATGTTAAAGCTATGTGCCAAACTCGAAAACCGACAGTCAGTTGGGATATAAAAAAACAATCTATTATAGGCCATGCCTCCTGAATTCATTTATTTTAGTTTTAGTTGGTATGGTAAACTAAAAGACTAATATCTAATTCAAGCTTTTGGCCTTTTCTAACATCTTCACAAAATGTTGGGTTTCTCTTTGGTAAATTGTTAAAAAAAAAAAAAATTCTAACTTAAATTCTTCATAATTTTTATGATCTGGCTTGGGCAAAAAAACATACTTTCTTCCATCATGCGTAAGTAAGAAAAATTCTTTAAAAAGAAGTCAATATTTTCATGACAAGAAATTTGATTCTGAATTGGACTCAATCTAAATCAATAACAAAAAACAATAATAACAATAACTAAAATAATAACAAAAATAGTAACAACAAGAATATAAATAATAGTTATGTTCATTCTATTGAATCTACATGAAAAACACACAGCAGTACAAGCTGGAAATTATATAAATTTGTCAACAAGAAGTGTCACGAAAGTAAAGGTATCTCAAAGTCAATATGACATTATTATCTTATTAATAGAACACAGAGTCCAGTTGTGACGATTGACATAGTTATTATGTTGCTTTATTGTAATAATTATTACGACGAACAGAGTTTGATAACCAGATTAATAGGTATGTAAGCTATCATCTCATTACCTTCGTCCTTCCAGTTTGTGTATACAGCTGTGATATTAACTTCTTAATCTCAAACGTGGTGTTTGACAGAGTTTTATCATCGCCGACGTCACCCTTGATCAATGTGTGTAGATCTTTCCAATGTTTATCCAAATCCTGAAAATAAGAGAAGATTTAGAGCATAGAGTATTGACTGGGTCATAGGCGCATATCAAATGTAATGTGAAATGCATTATGGGAGTAAGTACTGTGAAGTGGGTCACTTTAGGATTATCTTTATACTGTAAGTGAGAAAGAAAATTTGTAATATTTTGAGACAAATTAATAATTTGGGAAGCATGTCTGGCAGATATTTTGTTACTTGACCTTTTGTAACTGTGCTGCAAATATTTCATAACCTAGACATTTCGTAACCAGAAAAACATCAGTTTTCAAAACGTTCACAATAGAGTTACAAAAAGTCCAAGTTTCTGGCTATGTCAATCAAATAACAAAAATAAACTATAGCGCTAATTGTATAAATGATGAAAATTTCAGAGTACACAAATAGCAAAACTTTTTATAATTACAGTATTATTGTTACAGTGTGATAGGAGGCGTAAGCCACTTCGCCTTTCCCCTTCCACTGCAAATGGTAATAATCAATATACCAGTAGTTAAAAATTGGGGAAAAATTGAGGCATTCAAATAATTGAATATTTTGTAATCTGTATTTTTCTTAATTGCATACCGCCCTCTAGAGTTTCAGTGCACTATTCACACACATCTATGTGTTTATAACCTAGTATAAAGGGATACGCATAACGGTGCTACAGTGTTGCTTTATAGGGATTTGATAGCATTTACACCTAGCAAGGAAAAAAAAAATGCTGCTGGGTTGATGTGGTGTTAAATTTGGCTTGAATTTGAGCATGCTCTGTTAGATCCAACAAACATAGTTTTCTTCAGTTTGCTATATATGATATTGATGACTGGCAAGAGTGCATTCTTAGGTGCACACTGTGTGTATGCATAGCACTTTTGGTCATCATTTAAATTAAAATTGTACACACATCTATTTAAAGCCTTCTGACAGTGGTGGCGCCAGATTTTCATGGAATATTCCAGACAGCGGTCCAAATTCGCTTCAGTCCCATTAAGTTTAGAGCAAATATTTTAGATAGGCACCTCTGGATTCTCGACAAAATAAATGGCTTCTACCTCTGACAGGGGGTTCATATTTCTTCAAAGGGGTCCAGTCCCCTTGGACCCCTGCTGGTACCGCCAATGTAAGTGAATGAGAACAGCTAAGGGCCTTTAAATAATCATCTATAACCTTTAAATGCTGGTCTTACTTCATGCTTCAGACATGAGCTTTCACTGTATTGACAAATTCAAAAAAAAGGAAAGATCAGTCTTTGAATATGTACCACCATTTGAAAAATTTGAAAAAAAATCTCATTTTTATTAAAACACAAAATACACTTACTAAAAAAAATGATAAGTATGAAGTAATATAAGGCTCTAGGCAAAGGATATTGAAATTTTTTCTTGTGAATTAAAAAAATAGAGTACTTAATTAGGTTAACCTCTATATTCGTTTTGTCATTCATGGCAAGCAGTAATAGTATTGGTAGTTATCCTTTTGTAACATAAACTGTTATTCTAGGACGTAGACACTTATAGCCACTTTTCGTTCATGATTAATTGCACTTAAGATTTTCGCACCACATACTTCAAGTTGATTAATAGCATGATGTGAACAATACCTCAACAATCTACGCTTTACAGGTGATAATGAAAACGAATCACGCACTCTTTTTAATGTGGTATTCCTGGGGCTGCTGCAAAATCCTTCTACAAAGATTCCACATGCAGTGGGGTATGGATGCTTTTAGAAGTTAAAAAGTATATTAATCAAAAAGCTATTGTTTTTTATTGTTTTCTAAATGTTTTAGCAGCCGTTTTGTCTGGATGCTAATTATACAATTGTGCCGGCTATTATACATTAGTATTAGCAAATTCAGTTTTGACGCCGCCCTTCTTGCAATTGCAGTTGGATCCTGTAGATTTGTACGAGAGCAAAATATTTCAAGACTAAAAAAAGGTCCATAAAATGTTCAATTAAGTATTAATTTTAAGGAAGTGGTTGTTACACCAGTTTTCCTAATTGTTATTAGACAGCATTGTAAGTATGGATTGAATTAGGATAGAACATCCATCAGAATTAGGACTTCATTTAAGGCTAGTGTAACTTTAAAAACTCAATTTGAAAAATAGCAATCCTTTGTCCTATTGTACCAAAAACGTTTTGATTGCATCTGCTACGCAAAAAAAAAGAAAGAAAAAAGAAATGAACTACTGTATTATGGAAAAACCCTCCTATACATCCATTCTAATTAACAATGAACAACTTATTTAATTTCAGGACCTACTAAAAAAAAATATTAGTTCATCACCTTATCTAGGCTGGAAAAAAAAGTGATGAGGGAGATAGGGAGGGACGCTATATACCAATCCCAGTGTTCAACACCAGACTTTTTATGGTGATAAAAGATATAAAAGAATAAAAAAAAAAAGTCCCAATACAAAATACCTGTTTCTGAGTAGAGTCTGCTAGATCAAAAGGAACTTTTTGTCTTTGTTTTGGTGGTAGCTGATGTAGAACCTATTGTAAAAAAAAAGAGATAAAGGTTCATTGACCTGCAAACAATATTTAATGCTAAGAAGGCAAAACTTATGCTTGTACTAATTTTATTTGACAAAAACATGTGACCTGCCCAAATATGGTGATGATGACATCACAACATGACCGACCATACAATAGTTAGTCAAATTTTATAGTGCAAACAGAGATTGGGTAAAAGCAGGACACAAACTGCATCATTCGACGGCCTAAGAATTCTCCCAGTAAGCAACGCTATCTGCTGATTGTCCAGTAGACTGAGTGGATTTGTAATTAAAATGTTGTGGCACGTGCCTCATCGTGCTAGTTATCCATGGAATCATGTCGGCCAATGACTATCAGCATGCCCGGTTTAAAATGCTGCCTTTCAAACTTGATTTTCAGCAGCATCACATCACTATCTTGCAAACAATGGAATTAAATTTGTGCTTATATGCTGCTATTATTCTTGTTAAGCTAATGATAAAGTTAAAAAGATTTTTAATATATAATTATTTACTTTATATAATATAATTATTTCACTAACAATGTAAAAGACCAACAATTTTGTTGTCATCCAATTAATAAAAACAATAACAGCCAACTTATTTTTTTAATTAATAAGATATTTTATAGTTTGAACTGCCTGCATCCAATTGAGGTCAATCGACATAAACCTCTGTTGTGTGTATCATGTGATGTACTGTATGTATATTTATGTTGACTGACCTTAATATGGGCATGTGCAGTTTAAACTACTAAATGATTTATTTTTCTTTGGTTGTCTGATGTATAACATTAATTGATCAAATATTCATGGTAAAGTTTGAAGAATGCCAATACTGCATTCTTCAAACTGTATATAGCACCCTCTACATTTACTAAGTAGAAACATAATTCTTCAGTCTGCCTCTCTTTTTATAAACACATAACTGATTAATTACTAAAATTGACTAATATGAAAATTATTTTACAACATGTTATGATGAGGATATGTAATATGAAACATGACATGTATCATATACACTTTTGTCAAGCTAATCGTTTTTTTTCAAGAACATATCCATGTTTAGTCATGTGAATGTGGTTTATAGGTCAGTACTATTTTCACCCCATTACATTAGTCTCATTACCAAAAATATATATAAACAATCACTTGCTGAAATATAAATTCATTCCTTTATAAGATCTAGGCTAGATAATTGTACTGAGCACTATGTAGTATATAGTATAAATATGTCACTCATATATAAACTATGTGAAAAACAAATCCGCACGACTGATAAACGCATACGTAAACTATGTGAAAAACAAATCTGCACGACTGATAAACACATACGTAAACTATGTGAAAAAAAAATCCGCACGACTGATAAACAAAAATAAGAATACGTCAACTGTTTTAAAGGAGTCAAACAGGCTACCAGCGAAACACTGAATAAAGCATAAACCTATGGTGTAGGGTTGGTCATGTTCAAAGCTTCGTCGTACAATGTGCTCTAATTTATATCCAAAGACTGACTCCATAAACCATTGTAGTCAGGTCTCTGTCAACAAACCTTTTATTGTAATATGAACACAGAACCAGCAACCTTTGAAGACTTTTATAGAAAAATGTTTGTAACATTGAATTTTTTTTTTTTTTTCAAAATCTGTTTCTAGTTGGAAGTTATTTGATTCTATTAAAATGAGCTATAAAAATTTTAATTGACTGTACATCTTTCAATCAATGATTCTACTTATATGACCCCATTCCAACATCATTTTTTTGGTACCGTTAATTAATTAACTGTTCTTTAATAAAAGAACAATTAAAAATTTAAATAAATGTATTGTTTTAAAATTTCTATAGTATATAGAACAAAAATGTTAAAGCAAAGGGCAATAGTTCATTTTGTAATACAGAAAATTTTGTTATAAAATTATGTAAGCGAGCCAAAAGCAACTACAATGAAGCCAACACTTTTGCAATGATTTTTATCATCCTAAGGATCTAAATTTCGTGCTTTCACTGCAGAGGGGTAAAGCACTCTATAAATCAATGGATAATATTCATGTGGCAATGGACGTGTTCTGTATTATATGCAGTAATTTGCATTTATTCAAACCTTATATAAGTTAATCTAGTGAACAATAAAACTAAAATATTTCATCTACTTTACTCCCTTGTTCAATATCTAAAAGGATTATTTAATGCTGCATTTTGGGGAGATCCATGCAGCTAAAATCACAATGATTTATTTTATTCACTGCAACTTATGATTTAAGTTTATTATTTGAACATTTGACTGAGCAACATCACAAAAATTAGCAAATGCTGCAAAAAATCATTATAAATTCATCCTCATACATTTATATTTTAATAAAAAGGTTTTTATATTATTTATAAATTTAGAAATATGTAATTGCTTTTTAAAGCCTAGTACATTATATAAGTTAATTCATAAATATATACAGTATAATTAATATAATAAAAACTAATTCCAGTAAACTCATTTTACCAATTGATCCTGATTTACTGCATGTTTCATGTGCTTAAAGGAAAAATCTTGCTGCTTTGGAACATTTTGTAAAATTTGCCAAAAGTTAGGTTATAAAAAAATTTTGGGCCTGAAATTGAAGCAATCAAACTGTTGTTAAAGTGATAACTATTATTGCGAATAAACAGAAAGACAGAACTGCAATACCACAATATTGCAGTATTCAAGCCGGCATGGGTTCTGATTCAACTCAATAGACCTTTGGCAAAAGCAAACAAGTGTGAAAAACTGGCGAGTCATGTGATTTGAGGAAGCACATCAGCACTCCTTGCAATCCAAAACACCTGAAAATCCTCTCAGTTGCCCATGTTCTATTTTGCTGCTGTACAAAGCTACTGAGATTGAATGGTGACAATAGTAACGCGGTAATTCTAGTCTACATGCGTACATGCCCCGCGCACCAACATTGCACCTAATTGTGATAGCATCGCATGGAAAGTAGTTGCAGATAATTGACAGATGGAAGCCACTCTGGGCAAACTAGCGCTACCTAGTTCCTCATAGTTGCACGATAGCAAGTGACTCGAGTTGATATGAGTGCTACCGGCAACTAGTTGGGGTCAGTTGAGTTGAGTCGAGTCGCAAAGGAGACACAAGCTTTCTTTACAAGAGGCACACCATCTAGACTACAGTAGTTCTGACTACATTTTCTCTTCCTCGGCTTGCTTCTCTCATGGTTCTATATTTTGTGCATTTAATTTGCCAGAATTATAAATGAGAAACAGAACTGTGGTTGGCTTGTTAAAAAATTACTAGCGCTGGCAGATGAATCACCCAAGCAATAAAAAACATGAACAATTGTTTAGATAAAATTGAAAACTTCACTATAAACTGAACTACATTTCTGCTAGAATATTTATCTACATTAAATTCACCAGACAGGTTGACTATGGATTATATTTGCTGAAACTGTTAATGCGACATTACGAAAAGTAAATAATTATTTATTTATAATGGAGGAAAATCTAACCTTGATTAAAAAAACCCCCATGTATATACTGTATATATATATAAAAAATTGTTCCATGTTGTAATTTTAATAGCACTGCAGAACAAGAATCTTTTTCCATTATTTTCAATATAATAGGTAATATTCAATTGCTAATAAAAGAATTTTTATGTATAAAAAACATTAAAAAAAAAAAATCATTAAATAGGTTTTATTCTGCAAAACCATACTGATTACTGTAAATTACATTGAAATAATTTAATGGCGGCTTGATAATAAAGACATGAAAGAGTAAAGCAATGTTCGACCAGAAAATATAACATGATTTGTTGAATGAGAATTCCATGTGCATTTGGCATGTTGCTCTTGGGATCCCTTTGATATATATTATTAAAAAATAAATCACCCTTAAATAATGTAATAACTAAACTACATCATAAACTACTCACCATAACCAAAAATTATGAGATCTCGTTAATTAAAGCATATCATTTCGAATTATACTACTGAAAATCACAACCATTTTTATGGCATTTTTATCACTATTTCTATTCTTTTAATATAAGGCGCGTCAAGATCAAAGGAAGAAGAGGAATACAGGAATTATACAAACGCATCTTTCTCAAATTGGTTTTCTACAATAGGATCTCTGAGGGGATAAACATTAACACGATACACTTGAGAGCAGACATAACCATGCAGAACATAATATCTAGAGTGATATAAAGTATAATAAATAAGGTCATATTACCAAAGGAAAGTCTTTGTATTGAGCTACATTCATTCTCTAATTTACCCTATTATTTCAAGGACAAAATCAGGCCTAGAAAAAATGTCTCCGACCAGTGTAGTAATAGAATGCCTCCAGCACACTATATAGCACAACAGTATATATTTTTTTAAAGTTTTCAAAACTTTTTTCCCAAAATGCCTCTGGGACGTGCATGATGCCTCTAACCACAAGGATCATGCAATGTTATTCAGCCTATATGTGCTTTTTTAAAAAGGCACTTTTGAGTTTGAATTTCGTTATTTTAGTACAAGGTCATAAAATTATACAAAAACAAACATACAAATTGATACATACAAACAATAGTCATTTAAAATTGCACAATCGAACAGACCTTGATACAGGGAATACGGTACCAAGAAAAGTTACCTTATTTCTACCCTTGTCTCCTCTCCACCAACTAGTGGCTACCTGTGGTAAGGTCAACACCAATGTACTGTTAGCTACAATCTTTTGGAATTCTCCCACTGGACCTGAACTGGGTTCCATGTATTTGATCGAATGAGGTTAATGTGAAGTACATACTGTAGAGCCCTTGTTGACTATTATTATTTTATTAGTTGCTTGTTGGTAAGATGTGTTATATAAAAGCTGACTATTATTAGTTGACTAACTTTTTTTATCATCCCCACAGAAGGTATTAATACAACATACAAGTTATATATATATATATTATGAAATAAACAATTAATTGTGTTTAAAGTTAATGCCTTGTGTCAAAAGT